GATAATAGAACAGTAAAGTGACTAGGAGTAAACAGGCTAAAACAAACTAAAACAAAAGCTTACTACTGTTGGTAAGTGCTGCCAAGTCGGTTCTGACTCATAAAGACCCTGAATAGGGTTTCCGAGGAGCTGCTGGTGGGTTTGAATCACTGACCTTGAGATTAGCAGTCCAGTGCTTATCCTACAGCAACATACCAGGACTCCAACTAAAACTAAAAGAAAGGTTGTTATTAAGTGCCTTTGAGGTGGTTCTGACTCATAGCAACTCTGTATAGGGTTTCTGAGGAGCGGCTGGTGAGCCTGAACTGCCAACCTTGCAGTCCAGCACATTAACCTGCAGTGCCACACCAGACTCCAAAGATAGACCAACAAAGGTAGAAAAGAAAGGTAGACTGACAAAAATAGGAATCAGAATAAGCCACACTTTGAAGAGCCAAGAAAATTCCTAAAAGATTTAGGGATTGTTGAAATACATACTGCTTGTGAATCATCAGTGGATAGTTTCTATCAGACTATGAGTTTCATATACACCAGGAGACATTCAGACAAGATTTAGGGAAAACTTCCCAATACTGAACTATGTTAAGTGGCAGCAATGATAAAGTAAACCAATACAGCCTCAGTCATTTCAGTAGCTGGTTTATTAATCAAGAGAAAAATACTAACCAGTAGGTTTCTGAATGCATACTATCAGATGGCTAGAGAAGGAGAGTGGTTTCATCTGGAGCCACATTTTAGGATATATTTCCCATCAGGGGAAAAACAAAAGTTTAAGGAGTCCTGTTAAGTAAGGCACTGTAGGATAAGCACTGGGCTGCAAGGTCGGTTTGAACCACACAGCCAGCAGTTCAAGTTCAACAGCCACTCCTTAGAAACCCTATATAGGGTTGCTATGAGTCTGAATTAACTTGATGGTACTTAACAACAACAATAAGGAGTCCTAATAATGGGGGCGGGAGGGAGGGGAAGAGTGCAGGGGTGGGGGGTGGGTGTTGGAATCCTATTAATGATATTGGAGGCTTTTACTAGTCTGGTGAAATGCCATTTGCTACTAAGTTGCTTTCTGTGAAAATGAGGAAATACATACCACATAAAACAAAGCATAAAAACGTGAATTGTCTGAATTGTCACTGAGTCAGTTTTGATTCATGGAGACCTTTTATAAACTTGTGTAAATTTCAAATTGTTAGAATAATTTTGAAATGCCTATATCACCAAATTTTCTTCATTTTGTTGTTGTTGTTAGGTGCCATTGAGTCGGTACCGACTCATAGCGACCCTATGCACAAGGGAACGAAACACAGCTGGGTCCTAGGCCAACCTCGCAATTGTTGCCACGCTTGAGCCCATTGATGCTGCCACTTTGGCAATCCATCTCTCTGGGGGTCTTCCTCTTTTTCTCTGACCCTCTTCCTTACCAAACATGACATCTACACTCTGTTGTTTTTGTTGTTAAGTGCCGTCGAGTCGGTTCCGACCCATAGTGACTCTGAACAGGGTTTCCGAGGCTGTAAATCTTTACGGGAGCAGAAAGCCTCATCTTTCTCCCGCAGAGCAGCTGGTAGTTTCTAACTGCTGACCTTGCGGTTCACAGCCTGATTCGTAACCACTACACTACCAGAGCTCCTTTGTTGTTGTTGTGAAGTGCTATAGAGTCGGTTCCAACCCATAGCGACCCTGTATCGGGTTTCCAAGAAGCAGCTGGTGAGCTTGAACCACCGACCTTGCAGTTCAAACGGCTTTGCAGTCTGGCGCATTAACCCACAGTGCCACAGTCTAAATCTAAACACTATGTCCAAACAACAATCACAATGTTCTGTAGTGATTTACTGATTAAAACTATGAAAATATAATAAAACGAAAAGACAAGAGACGTTGCATTACAATTTAAAATGTGCAAGGAAGTAAGTTAGGATATTTGCAATATTTATTTTCACATAACAATTCTTAGTTGTGAAAATCACAATATCCTAGTCACATTTACACATCACTTAAACTTTGCAATAAATTACAATCAAGATATTCAGCAGTTTCAACCAGGAATCTGAAATCAGAAGTAAATATATAACACTACATTTTTCGTATATTTTATATGATTTCAAAATATTAGGATTAACATAGGAATAGCATCAAAATTCACACAAGAACAAAATAACTATAAAAATACTCAGAAATACAGAATTTCATTGGATATAATTGCTTCTATTCAAATAGGTGATCAAGTGAAGCTTTTAATTCACTGTGATCTTATTTCACAGAACAGTTTTTAATATATTAAAACACCCAGAGGCTGCTTTTGGGACAGGCTGCATGTATAGTAAGTGTAAATCATAGAACAATGAAAATGTTTACAACGTAGTATCTGTATAAAATGAACAAAGGCAAAATAATTGGAATGGAAAGTTTCTGTATTTTACCTTGACATTTAATGGATATAAACTTTATTAATGTAAATTGCTCGTCTCACATATTTTAGGTTACTGTTCCATAAAAAAAAGGAATCCTAAAAAGATCGTGAGGGGAATTTTTCAGAAGGTATCAAAATTGTTGACCCTAATGGAGGCTCCGCCCCTCCCCCCAACACACATAGGCTTCATTCATTAGCTTAATCCCAGAGGATTCTGCTGTTGTTGTTTTCATTTCCACTTTCCATGGGCATGACATGCAGAGTAAATCATTAATTGTTTGGAAAAGTCACATAGCCCTGAATTATTGTAAAACTGGACACTGAAGTATTATATGATTGATGATCACTGCTCATTCTTAGGAACCAGAAAATGATGAGATTTAGCCTTTATTAACTTTACATTCATTTTAAATGAATAAAACAGTACATTTTTAGCAGTGATCAAAATTCTTAACTTGCCTTCACATGTATAAGCCTACTGCTTCATATGGACTGAAATAGGTACAGAACCTTCTCAAACAGAAGCTGAAAATTTCATTTATAAGATTATTTTTCCATAACATGCATTTACTTAAAAAGTGGGAAAGAGTTTTGCAGAAAAAAATGACAACTGGAGACCTGTCAGTGTACCATTAGAACATGACTCAGAACCAGCATTAAGCATGATCATTAGCAACGGAATAACTGTACAAGAGTGGAAGGTCATGTACCAAGACCATCTTGTGGTATTCCACAAGGACGTATACAATAGGTTTATTGGAAAACATTTGTTGTCAATGGGAGAGAAATGTAACAGCAAATTTCTGATAAAGGTTTGTATTGAAAACTCCATAAAACTGTTAGAAAGTTTTTTCTAAAGCATTTCCTATAAGCCTAGTATTTGATCAAATAATCAAACTTGAATTTTATGCAAACTTACCTGACTTTTTATATTAGTGTCTGTGATTCTTTTGAACAA